GTATTTTTTTATTATTATTATTATTATTATTATTTAATCTTCGTCTTGGTCCAGGAGACCTCTAGGCCTAAGGTCATTTACCTCATTTGCTAAATTCATCAAGTTTGACAGGCCCCCACCACATTTTATAGCACTTGGAGTCTCTTCTTGATGCCTTTTGTAACAAGTCTCTTTGCTGGATCATGGGGTACAAAGCTGGCAGGACCATGTGTCCAATGAAGGCTACACCATGAGACTGACATGGGACCTGTTACTTGCATAATCCAGGATAACCAACTCAGGCTACACCTACCTTGCTTCCCTGTGGATGACCCTACCCATCAGGTTGTCTCTTTGCAAGACAATCCTAGATGGAGGAGGCCCAGGGAGACAGGAGGTAACGGCTGAGCTTGTGGTGGAAAGCCACACAAACAATATAAATAATATAATAATATATATATAGATATATAGTAGAGAGATAGATAGATAGAGAGAGAGATCGAGGAGAAGGAGAGAGTATAAAGATAGTATATAGTAGAAGACAGAGATATAATAGAGAGAAATTATATAAATATATATATAATAGCTATAGAATAGTAAGATATGATATGAGATAGAGATCGAGTAGAGAGATAAAATTTAGATAGAAAGAGAGATATAAATATGATATAATATATAATGGATATGAGCGCGTAGAGATATATAGAGAGAGATATAGATAAAATCTGAGATAGAGATAGAGATAGAGCGAGAGATATGAGATAAGACATATAATAGAGATATATAGAAGAAGAGAATCGAGAATATATAGATAGATATATATAAGAGATAGAGATATATAAGAGAGATAGAGAAGAAGATATATGATATAATATATTATAGAAATAGATAAATATAGAATATATAGAGAGATATAATCTGAGAGAGATAAGATAGATATAATATAGAGAGAATATTAGAGATCATAAGGATAGATAGTATAAATATATAGTATATATAGAGTGATATATAGTGAGTAGAGAGATATAATAAGAGATAAGAAGAGAGATATATATAGATATATAAAGATATAATATAATATAGATAATAGTAAGAGATATAATAAGAGGTCGAATTATAGAGGAAGAGTATAGAGAGAGAGATAGATAGATATAGATATATAGCTATGGAGATGAGATATAGAGATATATAGAGCGATAGAGATATATATATAGAGATAGTTTTATATAGAGATATATATATATATTTATAAGATAGTAATATGATTAGTATTGAGAATAATATAGAGAAATAGAGTTATAGAAATAAGATAGATAGATAGATATCTAGATATCATATATAAATAATATATAGATAGTATAGAGTATGCTAGAGTATAGTATAGAGGATAAGATAGATATAGTAGGAGAGCATATATAGAGGTAGAGATAGATAGATAGATATAGATGATAGAAAGAGATAGTGATAGAGATAGATATAATATATATAGATATAGAAGATAGAGATAGATAAAGAGAGAGAGAAAGATATAGAGAGTATATATGAAGATATTAGAGAATATAGAGATATGTAATAGATATATGTAGATAGAAATATATATATAGTAATATAGATAGAGAGATAGATATAGAGAAATGTAAGTATATATATATGGAATATAATATAAGAAAATAGAGATAGAGGGAATAGACAGATGGAGATATAAGTAGTATATAGAGGGAAAGAATATATATATATAAGATCTAGAGAGAGATATACGATAATATATATAGAGAAGTAGATATATCGATGATGATTAGATTATATATAGAGCATAGAGATATAGAGATAGAGATAGAAATAGTGAAATAAGATAGAATAGAGGGATAGAGAGTGATATAATATCTACATATTATAAAGAGATAAGAGATAGAGATATAGAGATATAAGTATTATAGATATAGGATAGAGAGATAGATAGATAGAGATAGAAGTAAGAGAGAAGAGATATATAAAGAGAGATGAGATATAGAGAGAGGATATAAAGAGAATCAAAGATATAGTATATAGAATGAGATAGTATATATCATATATATAGATATAGTGAATGATATATATAGATGGGAGAAGATAGATATATAGTTTCTATAGAGATATGAGGTAGAATAGAGAGAGATATATGATATATAAGTATAATAGATATAACATATTATATAAGAATCATATACTAACTGATATAGATATATAGAAGATATATAGATATAATGATAGTCGATATAGAATAGATATATATATAATGGGTATATAGATAATATTAGATAAGTAATATATAAGGTATATAGATATATATAGAGTATAAGATATATATATTATATATAAATATATAGATATATGATATACATATAGATATATAAGATACTATATATATATATATATAGATGAGAGATATAAATATCGTATGAATAAGATAAGATGCTAATATAGAGATAAGATATCGGTAAGGACGAGAATATGTATAATCTCTTTATATATAAGATAGATAAATATACGATAGATAGATAGATAGATATGAGATATAAGATAGATAAATAGATATAAGAATATAATAATAAGAATATATATATATATAAGATATATATATATATACCATATATATGAGCTGAATATATAGAGAATATATATATATATAGAGAATGTATATTATATATAATATATATAAATATATATATAATATTAGATATATGATATATATAGAGACGATGAGATATATAAGAGAATATGATCAAGAGATATAGACAGATCTAGAAATAGCATATATTTATATCGATATAAGATATAGTATCGTAGATATAGAAAAATACTAGATATATATATATAGATATATATATATATATAGATAGATATTATATGTATAAGACTAGAATAGATAAGCGATATATATATATAGATAGATGTAATATAATATATATATAATGTAATATCGAATACTATATATGTAGATTATATATATATAATATAAGAAATCGTATATATAGATAGATAATTATATACTATATATCTATGAAATATATATATATATAGTATAATATTATATAGACATATATATATAAAATATAGATATAGTGGATAGATAAAATAGATATAGATATATATATATCTATAATAGAAGATGAGATAATGGATATATATATATATCGTGAGAGAGATATATAGATAATATTAGATAGAGATAGATTAGTATGGTAGAGATAGAAGATAGATGAGATACCAATATATATATCTACATATAGATGTAGAAGATAGAAAAGATAGAGTAATATATATCTAATAGATAGAATAGATAGAGACTCCATACATAGGATGATATAGAGGTAGCTATAGAAGAGAGATAAGATATATATAAATAGTAGATATTAGAGATAATAGAGAGAGAGATATATACTAGAGATATAGAATCTAATATATATATAAGAGACTAGATATATATGGAGAATATAGAGAGATAGATAAGAGATAGATATGAGATGTAGTAATATAGGATAAATAGATATAAGATAGCTAGAGAGATAAGATGAGATAGATGAGATATGAAGAAGAGTAGAGATCTCTATATATATAGAATATCGAGATCTATAAGATATAGAGAATATATATAAGATAGTAATATAATAGTAGAGTATAATATATATAATATATATATAGAGATAGAAACAGATAGAGAGATATAGAGAATTATATATAGATAATAGAGATATAGATATAAATATAATAAGATATACCGAGAGAGAGAGAAAGAGGGAGAAGATATACATATAGGTATAAGATATAGATATATAGAAGAAGAGAGAGAGGATAGAAGAAGACTATATATATAGAAGAAGGGATAAGATAAGAGAGAGGGAATAGATATATATAGATGAGAAGAGAGATATATAGTAGATATATAGAGGATAGATAGTATAAGATAGAGAAGCGGAGAGATATAGATATAGAATAGAAGGGACGTATACCGGCTGCAGCCAGACGGTAATTCGGAAGGGAGTGAAAAGAGGTACACCGGGACCGGAGGTGGGGACGGGATGAGGAAGGAATGAGACAGGGATAAGTAAGAACGACGGATCCAAAAATTCAATGAAAATCCGGCTGCAGGAGGCGGCGAACAAAACAAAACGAACCAACAAAAACCAACGCCGGAAAAACTAGAACCGCGGGGGGAGGGAAAGAAGAGATAGAAGAGAGAGAGAAGAGACTGAGATGAGAGAGAGAGATACGAGAGATGATAGAGATCGAGAAGCGAGAGAAGAGGAAGAGAGATCGAGGAGAGAAACGAGAAGAGATAGAGAAGCGACGTAGAGAGGGAAAGAGAGAGAGAGAGAGAGAAGAACAAGAGATAAGAGAGGAACAGAGCGAGATAGGATATAAGAGGGAGAGAAAGGGATAGAGAGGAGAGAGAGATATAAGAGAGAAGAGAAGAGATAGAGAGAGAGAGATAGAAGAGAGTAAAGATAGAGAGAGAGGGAGAAGAGAGAAAGAGAGATAGAGATAAGAGAGAAATAGAGAGGGATGAGCGAGAGCTATGAAGTGAGTGAGAGAGAGAAGAGAGGAGGGAGAGAGAAGGAGAGAGGAGAGAGGAAGAGAGAAGAGAGAGGAAGAGGGGAGAGAAGAAATAGAGAGAGAGATAGAGAGAGAGAGAGAGAAGAGAGAGATAGAGAGAGAGAGTAGAGAGAGAGAGAGAGAGAAGATAGAGAGAAGGCATAGTCGAGAGAGAGATAGAAGAAGAGATATAGATAGAGAGCGAAATAAGATAGAGAGAGAGAGAGATAGAGAGAGGAGAGAGACGATAGAGAAGATAGCGAATAGAAGAGAGAGAGGGAGAGAGAAGAGAAGGAGGGAGAGAGAGGAGGTAAGAGATAGATAGAGAGAGAGAGAGAGAGAAACAGAGGAGTAGAGAGAAGAGAGTCGGAGAAGTAGAAGAGATAGACAGAAGAGAGAAGAGAGAGATGAAGAGAGAGGAGAAGAGAGAGAGAAGAATTAGAGAGAAG